CCTGATCCACTACTGCAACTTACACCTCGGCAGAGCAAGCTCACATCAGCCGTGGCCTGCATCGTCGGAAAATACGACACAGGTTCCGGACACTCCCAGTGAGTTACAGCAGGGACCGTTCGTCTTGTTAGGTCAGTTAGTGTGACCAACCCATTAAAGGGGAGTTTTTGTCTACGGGAGCGTATTTTGTTTGGTTATTTTGCTTGGCTCCTACCCGCTGTACCTCATCAACTAAGAGATTATCCAAGTGTCATCCAAGGACAGCGAGCGTTCTCTCATCCGCTCGGGGAGACGCGCCCGGTAGCAGTATCTCTTCTGCCCCGAGTGTGTGTGTGTGTGTGTTTCGTGCATGAACGTAAACCTCTCATAACTTTTAAACGGCTCGACCGATTCAAACGGGATGGACAGCAATCGAAAGAGTTTCTTTGCCCCTAGATATTTTAAACTATTTAAGGTAATTCGCACCAATAGATTTTAAGTAATCTTGAAAATAAAATTTTCAGGAAATGTTTTTTTTTCAAATAAATTTTAATAATCTGCTGAATCAATCGTTTTCAAAAACTAATAAGCCCTTAAGCCCAAAAAACTGCGTCGATCGCCGTCAACGCAACCAAAATCGGTCGATTCGTTTGTGAGGTATCCTGAACAAAATATTTGGGAAAAAGTGTTTTTTTTTTCTTACATAACTCCGACATTTATCCCTGGATCGTTTTTGATTCAACGAGATGATTTTTAGAGCTTAAAAAAATCACTTCAATCACCGCCAATAACGTCAAAATCGGTTGACTGGTTCGAAAGATATTTAATTAAAAAAATTAAAAAAAGTATTTTTTTACCACATCTTTAAAATTTCACGTCCGATTGTTTGGTTGGTGATAAATAGTATTTTTGTTCTATAAAGACTGCATAGAATGCCTTTAATTTTTTTTAAATCCGTTAATTCATTTGTGAGATATCGTTATCAAAAAAAATCTAAAAAATTGTTTTTTTTTATACATTTTTATTGGCTTCACCTATCGATTCAAAAAACTGATCGGTTTTTAAGCTTGGAAACCCACGTTGATCGCCGTTAACGCGATTGAAATTGGTTGATTAGTTTGAGAGATACCGTTGTCGAAATAATTAAAAAAACGCGTTTTTTTTAAATCACTCCGACATTTTTTACCTGGTTTCTTATTGCTTTTGGCGTAAAATGTGGAGCGCTTAGGTATGAAGTTAGCGGAAAGTTGCAGTGATGGCTTTTAGGGTCTACTGTTATTCTAATTTTGTATACTGAATACATAAAGAAATTCAAAGTACAAAACAAGTAAGAAACATATTGAGTTTTTTGGGGGGCCCGTTTTACCCCACTTTTCTCAATTTTTTAATTTCGATGCACACAAAAAATTAACACCATAAATTCAGTAAAAGGCCAGAAAAAGTAAAATGAGCTGAAAAACTCATATTATAAAAATTTTCTGAAGGTGGCCCATTTCGCCCCACATTTTCAATTTTTTTTTTTTAATGAACAGAGCCAATTGAGGTCAAATACTTGGCAAGGGACTAAAAAAAAGTAAAACCAGAGAAAAACACTAAGGATATCAACATTTTTTTCTTAAGGGGCCCATTTTGCCCCTCCCTCCCCTATATACAGTGTAAACTCTATATAACGTCATCGAAGGGACCGTGAATATTATGACGTTATAGAGAGTTAACGTTAAATAGAGAGAAGAAATATTTTTTTTTCAATAACCCTAAGTGTCTTCTTTTAAACAAACAAAAAGCCATCCCTATATCTACAATAGCGTACGAGATATTACAAAAACAAAATTGAAAAACTGAAAAAATTGCAAAATTTTGAATTTGCATATATATTTTGAAAAAAATTTTTTTACTGTTTTTCCTTTGGCAGAACTTCGTTTTATGATAAACGAAAACTTCTAATAAAAATTTGTCCAAATCGAGAGGGATCGATTCCAACTATTTGTCGATCTGATATGGAATGACCCAACTACAGTGTACATTTAAGTAGTAGCCATTTGTAAATTTTTTTCACTATAGATGGAACTAGGATCAGTACAACATGGAAACCAGTTAAATGTCGTTTTTTCCGTGCAATTGCCAACTATTTCTTCAAATTTCGAAATTTAGTCATTTTTAAATGGCTGTAACTAGTCTTTTTGTAGAGATAATCATACTTTGTCTTAGAGTTTTGTAATTACAATTGTAATAAATTTAAAGCTCAAAGACTTTACTTTAAGAATATAAAATCGTTTTTTGTAAGCAATTGCGTGAATTACATGTAAATTCAATTTAAAACAAAAAATGATTTTTCCCATGTTAATTAAATGGGAAACTAAAATAAAAAAAGCAACCCCTTAGAGTTAAGCTATAGGGCTCGTGTTTGGTGAGGATTTTTTTTATATCAAATAGAAACATTTGAGAGGGTAAGAGTTAAAAAAAATTAAAAAGTTTTTTTGAATCACCCCAGTATATAGTGAATTTATGAAATATTTCGCTGATTTATAAAAAAAATATTCATGCTTATAATTTTCAGTATATTTTTCAACATATATACCTTTTTCATGCCGAAACCGGTCGTACTTAGTGGTGCGTTTTGTTTTATTACTTTGGTAACTGAATTGTATTTGGGTACAATATCTTGAATAGCTTATTTAGAAGTCTTTGAAATGTGACCACGTGATTTCAAGCAAAGGCTTCGTCGTTGATAGATGCAAACAGGATCTTATGCCTTCACCTTCCCGGATGGTCCCCGCTATAGTTACTGACCATTGCACTAAAGCTTGCTAACAGAGATGTTGAATAGAGAGTCATATCAAACTGAAATAACATGGACACGGACATTCTCTAGTCTCATTCTGTTCAAAGATTGCACGAGAGGTTAAGAGCAGGGTTTTTTTTTTGCCTGAAATCATGTGGTGGTTCATTCGTCGTGTCAGAGATATCATTAGGTAGAAAATGTCATTCAAAGTTCATAGAGTATTCAATTGGGTGACATATGCGGCTTGACGATATCAAACCGATATCAAACCCATTGAATAAATTATTTATTGATCACGTAATTTGAGCTTAAATCCTAGTCTAGGTTATCCAAATTGTATTTACAATGAGAATATATTTACATACTAATTAGTATTAATTTAAATTAATAACATGCACAAAAGAAAAAAATTAGCTACTATTTCTCAAATCAATAGAACGTCAACTATATGTATACTTGTGTGTGTATACTTAGGGCATGCTTTTGATGAATGTTTTTACCACCAAACCAAATCTTGCACTGATTACTAACATTCATTCCTTGCCATTGACGTGCACATATAAAATATTTTTGAGAGAATCCATTGTTGTACCATTCTATATGTTTTACGATTTATACCTTACAATTGAAACTTGGTTTTTAGAAAAAAAGTTTAGATCTGCTCAGATTTGGTTTTATTTCCATTTTGGTCATGTCTGTACAGATCTGATTATACCCCACCAACTGTGATCTAATTCAAATTGAATCTGTTTCATGATTCAATTAGTCAGCTTGGTGGTTATTTCAATTTAAGGTTCAACTAATGCAAACTTCGGGACAGCCAACTCGGTTTAGATTAAAATAACTTGAACAAATCAATTCGTATACGAGTTGTTATAATAAATCCAGCCAAAACGACTTGAGAGAAAATGAGTCAAGAATTGATGAATGGACTTATAAATAGTTCTCAATTAGATTTTTTAACCCTTCAGGACATGGGCTATGAGATTTTTTCTCATGCTCAACTTCAATCTCAAATATTTTTTAAATTTCAAATGGAAAAGCTACTTGAAAATTTTTGTATCTTCCTATAATTTAGTTTTCTAGACGCACATACAATAAAAACTTTTTTTTTAATTAAAAAAATAAAAAAAAAATTTTTTTTGGAGGAGATGAGATTTTTTCTTATGGCCAGAGTATTAAAAGATGGGAGATTTTAGCTTTCGTTTCGTATTCGGCCGAGTTCGGCTCATTTCGCAGTCCGCGTCCGTCATATTTATTTACGTGATACATAACCGCCAAAATGATAGTTCTATTATTTTTCTTAATTAATAATACTCTAACAATAAATTTAAACTTAATTAATTATTCATTAATTATTTTATAGTCTAAAAACATTAAAAATAAAAAATAAATTACGTTTTCGTAAGAAAACTGAATTTAAATTATTCTATGCGCATGCGCAGAAGCCATGAGATTTTTTCTCATGGCCAGAATAAATAAGGTGAGACAAAACACCCATGTCCTGAAGGGTTAAACAATTATAATTGTTTTTAAAAGAGTGGAGGCATCGTTCCTACACTCTATATTCTTGTCTTCTTTTAAGATGAAAGTAAGGAGAATTGGAAAACAGTGACACGAGAAAATAGTGAAGGGAATGGGATCTGTTTTGACAGGACTTAATTTTATATCGAATTGTTTTGACTAAAGTTGTTAAAGACCAAGTTATTTTGACTGGCTCTCTCGGCTGTTATATTCACTTGTTGATTAGTGGGTTATAATAGTTTACGGAATTACTGATTGAATTTGTGAGGTTTCATTGAAAGACCAGAGAAATCCCACCGATGTTTTAATTTAGAATAGGCGTTATCACTTTTTTAATGGAAAACAAATATAATCAATATAGAATATTTCCGATTTTCTTCTTAAAGTTTCCTGTAAAACCGCGACTGATTTTAGTTGGAATAGGAGCATAGTTTCTATTACAAAAAAATTTCATTTTCACTGAATTAAGTTCTGGGAGAAATTAAGTCCAAGCAGATCTCAACTTTTTTGTGGCGTGTTTTTCTTTAATCAAATAAGTTCTGTAAAAATTCGAGAAATTTGTTGTCACTTATTCCGAACATTTGCTTATTGTTTCCACCTCACCATTGCCTATTACATTTGTCTATCAATACAGACCAATTTATATTATAAAAACTCTGAAAACTTGAATAGTGTTTTTTTATCATGATAAAAATGTAGTACACAAAATCAAGGTATGTTCTTATGGATCCATGCCTGCTGTCAACCCAAGTGGGTAAGTGTTCGTGTCTCTTTCCTTTTTTTTTATCTCTTTTCTGTATTATTAAGCCTGATGTATAAGGATCGTATTAGTACGTAGTTGTTAGCATAGAAGTGCACTTAGCTGAAATTTTTAGTCATGTAGACATTATTTTGTTACAATATGTGATATCGTTATTTCCAAAATTCATAAATTTGTATCTAAAATTTCCTGTTCCTTGAGTAAGGTTTACTTGATTACTAAACAATTTACATTTATGTGATTACAAAAAAATCAATTGCTACTTTTACAGGATCTGAGTCAAGAGCTTAGATACAATGAATTAATTTTTCGAGTCTTTTCCATTAAAATTAATATCACGCAGAAATTTTGCTTTAAAGGAATGTTTTCTAGAAAAGAAAATTAAATATTTACCGAATCAACATCTATTGCTCGATTGCAAATTGAATAGTTTTTATGATGAACAGCTACAGTGGATTTGACTCCAAAAATATTGACTTACTTTTTAAGATCACGTGTTTAGTAATTGTAAGAAAAAAACAAAAGGTATAAAGTGAAATTTGAGCTTTCAAACTTGTTATTTATTGGTCATTAGATGATAAATAGTATATTACATACCTAGGCCAGTAAAATAAGAAAAGTCTCAGACCACATGTAATTGTTGGCCGAGGCGAAGCCGAGGTTGACAAACATGTGGTCTGAGGCTTTACTTTTTACTGGCCAAGGTGTGTATACTATTTTTCTGCTCGACGTAGCCGGAATGTGGCAACTTTGTTTAGCGCAGCGGCCAGAAAGTTGCCACTTTCCGGCCGGAGGGCAGAAAAAAATTTTATTCAAAATTGAAAGCTCTTTTATTGTATTTTAGATGCGCTAAGTACAATTTGAGTACGTAAATAATTTTGAAGATTATTGAGGGAATAAGCGCATGAGACGATAATTCTTATTACCCTGAAAATTTGATCGGCGAGAAATATTTTCTATTATTTTTTGATAATTTAATTTTGTCGAAATTTATAGGGTTATAGTTAAAGTTATCTAAAGAACGATATTTTTGGCTTTGATCACTTATCTTCACGCATGTCTTTGTATTAAAAGTTTGCTTAAATCTTAGTGTCAATTCCTCACCTAATCTTATCTGAAAAATCTTATCTTTTATAAAAATTTTTATACGCTCTCTTTATTTGAATACGACGCATATGACTGCGCATAGAGGAATAAAATTTCGAATTCATGCGGATGCAAGGAGATGTCAAGTAAAGGGAGAATAGTTCTGGCCTGGTGGGTTAACTATAGGGAGATTCCACTGTAAATAAAATTTTTCTTCCAGGAATTGTTTAATAATAATAATAATTATAAGAGCTCAAATAATAACAGGTATCAGTTATCGGGTATAAAAAAATGGTAGATTTTTTCAAGTCAATCTTATAGCTACTTAGTCAAATCAAGTAGTAACAGTTGGTTTTATAAATATTGTGAAAAAGTAAATTAGTACATGTTTTATTTTATAACATCTACAACTTGATTATTTGAGATTTTTAATACCTTCAAAAATTTGCCGACAGTGTAAATACACACTGATAAACAAATTAATTTGACTCAAGAGCCAAAATCTTAAACCAAGAATACCATTTTGACGAAAATGATTTTCTTGAGTCAAGAGAATAAATTCTTACGATAAGAAAAATTTACTTACATCAAGATTAATTTCTTGACTTAGTTCAAGATTTAGGCTCTTGAGTCAAATTAATTTTTTTATCATTGCACCATTGTTTCTTAGGAGTAGATAATGAATAGAATTACCCAAATTTATGACTCACGTTAATATACGAATTTAAATTTTAAAACTTGAATTTTTATTTATTTTACTCCTCTACTTCAAAATTTATAAAAATGAATCTCAACCTCTTTATGTCGAATCAAAATCCGCCTAAGTCGAAATCCTCTATAACTCGAAAACTCTATAACTCGAATTTATTTGCCTCTCCCTTGGAGTTCGAGTTATAGAGGTTCTACTGTACAAACAAATAACGGAGCCAAAAAATGAATTATGATATTAATGATTTTAAGTAAATTCAAAAAAATATGACAAGATTTATCAGTTTTCGTTCTAAGAACATTATTCGTTTGTTGGTTAAAAATGAATATTTTTTCTATTAAACTTTTAAACTAATCAATTGTTATGAAGAATACTTCTATCTGATATATGATAAAAATGAGAGGCCTGGATGATTTTAATCGATAAGGCTCTACTAAAATACTCGATTCGGTAGTAAATAAGTCACGAATTCAAGTGTTCAGCTCGAAGCGACCGAAATTTTTTATTTTAAGCATATAAGTATCGAAAATATCTATAGTTGATTATTATTTCAAGTTTTTCTCAACACTTTGATGTTACTAGTTTGCCCTTCACCCACAGTAGTTCTATTTGCATGCTGTAATAAGGCTTCGCGTTTTAAATACGATAACTCTAATAGTAGTTTCAAAGTAATATATGGCAATGCTTTACACATTATTAAAACTACACATAATATCGCATTTATTAATAGCATACATTTTTATAAATAATGTCATTCTATATGATAACGCAAAAACTGTTTAGCCTTCGATAATTTGATAGAGCACTATTTTCGACCTCCATCATGTTTTATCATCTAGAGGTCAATATTAAAAAGTGTAATGTAAACTATTTCGGTTAGATTTTATTGTTTTGCTCAATATTTAACAATCACTCAAATAATTTTAATCCAATGCAACTTTGAATTTAAAATATATTTTAAACTAGAAGTTCTGAATTAGAATCGATTCATCGAGTTAAAATTTTTCGGCACTCTCATATTCCATAAAATAATTTATATATAATTTTTAATAGGGTATAATAAATTTGAATCGATAAATTGATTATGTAACTGTTTTTAGGTTCATGAAGCTGACGCCTGTCTAGTCCTTGCTAATAAATATTGTCAGGATCCCGATGCCGAAGATGCCGCTAATATTATGCGAGTTATCTCTATTAAAAATTATTCTGATGATATACGAGTTATCATCCAACTAATGCAGTATCACAATAAGGTAATGCTAATTATTGTTAGTTTTTTTATTTGACTGTAAATAGAGATCGATACAATGGATTATATTGAAGAACATCATTCTCAGAATAATACGGAAATTATACCTGTGTCTTGAATTATTTAAGATGTGATTGAAATCAAGTAAAAACTTTTAATCAACTATTATGATTATATTTTAGTTAAAAAATAATTTATTAATGCTTCAGTAGCAATTTTAGGCAAGATTAGTACCAAAAGCAGGATATAGAGATACAGCATACAGCTTTTCTAATTAAAAATTGCTCAAACCCGCTATAGGATTAATTACAGCTTTGTTACGCACTTAAAATTGATCAAGCCCGTTTACGCGATGAATTAATCGATAAATAATTTATAATTTCAAAACGTCGCTTTGGGACTCAATTTGCGTTAGAAACATGTCGGGAAAAAACTTTCGGATATGGTCCGATAAATTATAACTCATGACTATATAATTTTGCTATTTTGCTATTCGAAAATATATAAAATAATTTAGAAATAGAAAAAATTTACTTATCAATTTCTCTTAAAAAAGTTATTAATGTTTTAAGATATGACCGCGTGAATAAAATATTCATAGCGTGAGCGCAAGCGGGTTGTTATAATTTTTTTGAAGCAATTTAAAACTTTAAAGTCAACGATAAATTTATTAAACCAATATTTTTTAGGCCTATTTATTAAACATTCCATCATGGGACTGGAAACAGGGGGATGATGTGATCTGTTTGGCAGAACTCAAGTTGGGATTTATAGCACAATCATGCCTAGCACCGGGATTTAGTACTATGATGGCAAATCTATTTGCTATGCGATCCTTCAAGACGGTCAGTATAATCGTCCTTTCATTAATTTATCAAAAATATTATTATTATCTGTGCATGTGTGAACGTCGTGACGTCGGTATTAAATTATACAGTTTGTTTCGAATCCACAGTGATAGTTTCATTTTCAGTGATATATAATATCGAATAAACGAAATATTTATAATAATAATAATAATAATAATAATAATAATAATAATAATAATAATAATAATAATAATAATAATAATAATAATATCAATTTTCATGGTTATCCATACTGATCAGTAGAAAATTTTTAAAAATTTGAAATAACGCTCAAAGGAAACATTTTCTACTGCTAACTTGTTATTTTCATTAAGGCTTTTTTAAATTTATCGAGTCTGAAAGTTAAACATAATTGTTTCCCATATTTTCAATTTATTTGGGTCATTACATAAAAGCTGTTTAATATATGAGAGGAATAAATTCAATACGTAGAATCCCTAGCGGTTTTGTAAATGCCGAAAAAATGTCGCAGTTATACAGTATTAATGCGGTATTTTTTCAGCATTTTTTCGGTTGTTTTAGTCAGTTTTTTCATCGAAACATTACGGAACATTTACCGAAAAATGCGAATAATTTACGCTCAAAATGCGATACATTTACACTACACAGTAAAAAATTTTTCATCGAATTTAACACAAAAATTTGTGTTGATGACTTTTTTTACACAATCTGTTTTGAATCAACACTCTATTGTGTTGAATCAACATACTAAAATATGCTCGAAATGCGATACATTTATGCTAAAAATTGGGAATATTTACGCTGAAAATGCGGCATACTTATGGTCATAAGGTGGTAAAATGACTGTATTAAAACCATATTTAAAAAATGGTGTAAAATTAAATAATGCTCGGACTAGGATTCGAATCCAGAACCTCCCGAAGACATGTCGTCTACTCTACCATTTGAGCTACTTGGTCTATACCAAATTTTCTTTTTGCTTACTTTTTATACATTAAGCTACACCATCCATCTCACGGTAATAATTTTTAAAATTAAATAATATAATTATATATGTGAAACAATATAACTTTTCTATTTTAGAAAATTTGCAATCTTCTAAGTGAGAAATTGAAGATTGAAATTAAAATTAGAATATATTTATTTAACATATGTATTCGTTTGTATTCATTACCGCTAAATACCTAATTAAAAAATAATATTCTGCATAGTATTTATTCAAAAACAGTATTTGTTTTTGCAAAGTAGCGATGGAGAATAAAAAGCAAAATTTGAAATGTTTTATTGTATTAATTTCTAACATAGAAGTGAACTAAAAATAAGACCAAATCTTTAATAATTGTCCATTATATTAGAAAATATTCGGCAAAATTATGGAATAATGACGGTATTGTTAGTAAAAAAATATGGTTTTATTACTTAAAAATTACTGTACTATTACGGTAATTATTTAGAATTTTTTGGGTAAAATTTGGGCATTAATGCGGTAATCGTATAGTATACTTTTGGTAACTGTACAGCATAAGTGCAGTATATATAATGGATAATTGCAGTATAAAAACTGGCCAAAACAACTACAGTTTAACCGCATTATTACCGAATTATAACGGTAAATATACGGCATGAGCATAAATGCCGAAAAATTACGGTATTTTTACGGCATTCTTAAAACCGCGAGGGATGTATTACATTAATCATTGACTTTGTTTTTCGTTAATGTGGATAAATAAGATCAAAAATTTGAGTTTTATGGATGGTAGTGTAGGAGTTGCATCACTCTGACGAAAACCTTCTCAATCGTTTCTTAACCCGTCAGCGGGGTTCCAGTGAACCTCAGCCGAAATTGATCACTATCACATAAACAGACATGTTGACAGAGAGTGATTTACTCAGTACCGGTTAAGAATGTAGAGAAGCTATTTGTATCCTGGAAATTTACGACGTAAAGCAATCATAAGTTCGAAATAGTAACTACTAGTTGACTTTCTGTTCATCATGTCTATTTTTTTTAAACCGAGTCAACGTAGTCTTTAGTCAAACTGCCAATTTTAGTGTATATCCCGGAGTCCTTATTAAATGCAACTATAGACCGTTACTGGATCAATGTTGAAATCTATTCAACAAGGTTAAACACTACATTTAATACATATTTGTTCTTAGCTAACATTCTGTAATCGAAGTTCTAATCCACATAGGCACTCGCAGCGTTCTGGTTTATCATGCCTTACATCTTCTTTTATAAAAACCACAAAAAAAAATATAGCTATCAAATTTCTCGTACCAATATCTGATGGCCTTTTCAATAGCATTTAGTATTTTTCCGTAAAAATAATTCTTTCTTAATTGAGCCATATTAAACAGCGCTATCAACATCTTATCTGATAGATAACCGAAGAAATTCTTGCACTGCACGTCATGATGCTGAAATTATGTTAAAAATTATATTTTACTTCAAATGCACAGCTCATTACGCAAAGCGGTTGAGATAGTGCTTTACTCTCAACACGTCAAGGTCAAACAATTTTGTGGTGTTAAAATGCCTTTATCACAATCATACTGTACTTAGACGATAATGTGAGTAGCCGTATATCAAGAGAACACTCCAAATAATCCGTCTCATATTTTTTAAGAAATCATTTTATGTGGATCCTTAAAAAAAATTTTTCTCCTCTCCGTGCGGAAAGCGTCAATTTTCCGCTCGCTGCGCTAAACGAAAATGCCGCTTTCCGCCTCCGTCGAGGAGAAAAATAGTATTCTCACCACGGGCAGGAAATAAGAAAGCCTCAGATCACATGTTTGTCGACCTCGGCTTCGCCTCGGTCAACAATTACATGTAATCTGAGATATTTCTTATTTTCCTGCCCTGGGTAAGAAATAGTATATTACATACCTAGGCCAGTAAAATAAGAAAAGTCTCAGATCACATGTAATTGTTGGCCGAGGCGGAGCCGAGGTGGACAAACATATAATCTGAGGCTTTACTTTTTACTGGCCAAGGTGTGTATACTATTTTTCTGCTCGATGTAGCCGGAATGTGGCAACTTTGTTTAGCGCAGCGGCCAGAAAGTTGCCACTTTCCGGCCGGAGGGCAGAAAAATACTATTATGTCGTTGTTTAAAAAAAATTTTATGTGGATGTCCAGATATCTGTATGTAATTATTTTTGTGTAGTCCAGATAACTCTCGAAGAAATTTACGCATCAAGATCAGGGGTTTTTTTTTTTTAATAGCTTTAGAATTGAATCAACTGGTTTTGTACTGCAGATTCCTATCTAATTCGGTGTCGTTTAATTATAACTAATAAAAAACTCAAATCGAGTGATCTTTTGTCTATTTGTGTGTATGAAAATCAAGACTAGTCTTAACTCACGTATGGGCGCTCGGTCATCTGTTCAATGATGCGCTTGCGCCCTAACACGCTGATATAACCGGATGTACGGATTTCAAAAGTTAATTCGTTAGTATGAGCACGTGTCTGTAGGTACTGTCGGTCGATTTTTCGACTCTCTCTGTAGTCTGTTATAGTCTCTGCTATACGCCGAGACCACCAATTCGATAATTCAGGGCACCTTTTTATTATTATCATTGTTATCGTTGCCTTTATCTTTATTTTTATTTTTATCATTGTCTATATACGATATTTTTTAGGTAGATTTCATAGAAATCAATCTATTGCATTGGTCCTCATGTCGGAATTCACTCGGAATTTTGTCGTAATATCACTTAACTAGTTGAGTGAAGCTCAAAAATAACGTTAGTTAAAAAATTTATATATGTATGTATATATAATATGTAATATAACGCGGGGTGTTGCCGCGATTGTGTCTACAGTTCTTGACGGATCTAGATGGATTTGTTACACATATTCTTTGGATAATAACCTTGAATGGGTTTGAAGATGAGCGAAATCCATCGATAAGTTTATAAATGGCAGCTCTTCAAAATTATCAAAATAGTGAAAATCACGTTTTCGGTTACTTCATTAATGTATAACTTTTGGTTGAAATGAGATGGCTAATTTTTGATGAATTCATGTAAAAGCTCATGAAGTTGCCTTTAATTTGACGTATATAACATTGACATTTTGACCATTTTTAGTTATTTTATCAAGGTTAAGAGCTTGACTGAACCATTTTCAGGCAATGTGTAGTGCAGGCGACTTATGAATGTTATTCTGTCGAGAATTCGTAACAGATCCCAATGAAATTTAGTATACAAATTCATTTGACAATTAGCTTGCATGAGCCTTAAAATGAGCGAAATCCTTCGATTAGTTCAGAAATAGTAGCTCTTCAAAATGATCAAAATAGGAGAAATTACGTTTTCGTTGACTTCATTTATGTATAACTTTTAATAGCAAAAAGATAGCTCATTTTTGATAAATTTACTCGAAAACTCATAAAAACACTTCTTATTTGATGTATATAATGTTAACTTTTTGACCATTATTAGTTATTTTATCGAAGTTAAGAGTTCAATTGAACCATTTTCAGGCAATGTGTAATACAATCTATCCATGTTAAACAAAAGTTATTGAGACAAGACGATAATTCATTCTATGAAATCTACCTTCCATTTCGGGTATGGCCGAATGGCGTCTTTTTTTATCTGCAATTAAAATGGCGCGAAATATTTGAATTTGATATGAAAGCCCAATTTGTTAAATAGTCTATACTATGCAAATAAATCAGTCATACGACGTATTTTTTCTTAAAAATTAAATGAGCGTTATAAGGCATACACTTTTGGATTTTCCAAACTTAATTTAGAGAATGCAAGCATGAAAAACATTTCATAGTTGCATTGCAGGTGGACCTTTAAGCTCTGCCCTCTGTCTTATGGCATTATGTCGCGCTGTTCAGGACTTTCAAACTTAAAACATTGCTTTCCTAGCCGTAGGCGAGGTTAACATACACGTGGATTGGGATATCTTACTTTTGTCGCTGGCGCGTTAATATTTTTCACCATATTTGTAACCAAAAGTTTACATTTTGTGCCATAGTTTTTGTGGGGAGGTTAGTGCAAATTTCACGCAGATAATATGATTGTATATGTTATTTCATAAGGTAAAAGTCGCACTTCGTTCCTGCAAAACACGGTAGAAAGTTTTAACTTTCAAAGAAAACTCTTTATTTTTTTATTATTTTATTGGAGTTTTTTATTTGAAGTTATTTCTAAATGAGGATAGATTTTCAATGGTTGTGGTTAGCTACCAATACGTCGTGAATCTTCAGGTTCTAGGGTTAATGTCAGTAGTGTATTATGATTCTGTTGAGACATTTTATTGGGTAAGAGCAGAAGCCCCATAACGAGCAAGTATTACTTTCTTAGTTCCAAATCTCGATTTGCTTCAGAGGATGAGCACAAGCTTTACCACCTAGTTGCTGTCTGTTTTTAACTTGAGTAAATTTTTTTTTCGATAGAACAATATTTACCAATACATTTTTAGTGCAATTTTTTTTGTCCGAGTAAATAAAGTAAAGACTTCTTGATTAAGATTATATTATTAATGAGGGTTATGCAGATACTGAAAAAAAATGCGCTGACACAGCAATAAACAGAAATGTAATGATCAATTGCTACAAAAAAATCATAATTGTAAACGCAACAAATTGAAGTTTTTCAGGGTAAAAAAAATTATTTTGTTACTTCATCAACTAAATTAACTTGAAAAATAGAGTAATAAATGTCTAGGTAAAGGATACTTGTGATACAATGTACAATATCCAATTTTATCAATAAATTTTCATGTTAATAATTATACAAGTACATTTTCATTGAAATTGAAAAAAAATTGTAAATTTTACCACAAAAAAATTAAAATGAAACATTTTAGAACAATTAGACCTTATTTCATTGTATGTGGCTGTAAAATCTACTTTAATATGTTTAAATGATTTAACTATATTTTAAACATCTTTAGTGAAAAAATTTTTTGTTATAGACATGCTTAGCTAAATATACCTTGGTCTGATCATATATGACCATATCAAATCTGATTCGAACTTATCAAGTTATATTGGAACATATCAAGTCATGTCAAGTTTGATATAGTCTAATATACCCATATCCACCGAAATAAAATTGAAGGAGTTTTTACTATTTTACTATCGTAATTTTTATTTAATAAAATAGTAACGGTGGGCTATACTTCTCATATATTGATTTTTACGATCTACTAGTAATTGAAAATTTTATCCAACAAACAAGACTAGGAAGAGACTTGAAAAGTCAAATACTATAGAGCAAATTATACAAGACGTGTTAGTGAACTTTACAATTCAACTATCGTAAAAATTGACGGTCAGTTTTTTTAAAAGAAATTTTAGGGAGTGAGAAGGTAGAAAATTGGACTTATTAGTAACTTTGCAGTAAACGAAAACACAAATCGGAAATTTTGTTCGGGAATCGAACCCAGGACTCTTAGTTGGTAATCAGAGACTCTCCCTCGACGCTATTCAAGGTAAACTACTATTGACGTCCTTCAACACTTACATAAGCTTGGAGTCTAGCGCTGTGCACGGCCATCACTCACACTAATTGAAAAACATTCTAATTCAACTATTGTAAAATTTTTTATACTTCTATTGGAAAGATACAGAGGCAGCACTGGAACATTTAATCTCTTACTTTTTATAATAGTAATATCGTATTTTTTCTAATCGAATTTAATACAATAATTACTTGGTGAAATTACGATAGTAAGTTATAAAATTTCGTGAATAAATAGTAAACTTTCTTCTAAAATATTTGACAATTAATAGTAATGAAAGCATAGTCCTGCTTTACAATAGTTGTATCGTAAGTTTTCCCATTAATTTTTTTCCGTGTGTAAGGTAAAAGCCCCAGTTATTGACGCTATAAGAGACAAAGTTATGATTTCATTTTTTTTAAGCAATCAAATAAACACAATTATAAATATCGTTGAATTTTGTTTGTGGTAATGTCTTAAGTAATGTTTTAACTAATCAATTTCTTTTTTTAAAATGATAATCAGTGATATTTACTAATTAATTTTCAATAATTCAATAGATGATCTGGATACACCAATTATTGACGGGTTAAAAAACTGATTGATCTAATTGTGACGTACCGTAACCCCAATTATTGACGCCCCTACGCGCATGCGTCGAATCATTTGATTATATACAATTACTACAATTCAAACTTTATCAATTAATTCAAAAATTGAAATATTATTCAACAATTTGTCATCAGCCGAAAAAAAAGTTTACATGCCTAAAAATAAGAAAATCTAAATTTTTCAAAATTTATTAATCGCAATGATTTCAAATTTTGATCATATTCGAGTTTAACATATTAGAATCTAATTCTAAGAGCATGAAGCGTTTTTTCAATTTTTTCGATTTTTTAAGTCGAGTGGTTCAATTGCCCCATGGTTCAATTGACCCCTTTCTCCCCTACGTGATGATCGATTGCCAACCGGTGAGCATATGCATGTAGCCCCCTCTCCATTCTACTATTTTAGACTCTCGATTTTCCGAATTTTCTCGGAGTGCTTGAGCGCCAAAGAATTGAAAATTTGCATTGTTTCAAACGACACTATTATTTACACATTTACACGATTATTGATTAAATATCAAACATATTAAATATAGTTAAATTATTTACGCATGCTAAACTCATAGGCCTTATTATTCTACTACATCTAAATGATGTTTAATTCTTTTTTAATTTGATATTAAAAAAATCCATTTTTGTGTTTATATTATTTCATATAAAATGTACTTGAATGATGAATAACATCAAGATTTATGAAAAGAACTTATTAATGAATAAAAAAATTTAGTCTAGTGTGTCGGAAATCACACGATAAAAATGACAATGCGTATGGTTGTGATCATACACCTGTGAAAATAATCCTTAGAGTCAGCCTATTTTTTATATTTTATTCAAAGTTATTCATTTGTATAGTACGTAAGTAACATTTTTATCATCCTGACAAACTTAATTTCGTTGCATTAACGAAAACTATTTTATTCTCATATTCCCGTCATGTGATATAACCACAAATTTTTTTTGTCAGTAAATAATTTATAAATACTTGAAAGCTAAATTTGACACGCGACATTACAATGGAGAGAGAACAATATATATATATATATATATATTCGCGCGTATAATTAAGACATAGTTGGTTGATTGGAACCAGTCACCCGATATATACAGGCATGGCAGAATGACTACCTTCGTGGAACAGGAATGGAGATGTACACCGAGACACTGAGCCCTACCTTCATCGGAATGCCCTTTGCCAAAGCCACCGAGTAAGTCGCTTCCTCGACCAAACCAAAATCATTTTAACAGAATTATGTAAAGGCTCTGATTCAAGAGACGAGATTTTGTTTGTACTAATGCCTCATATTTTCGCTCATTTCTTCCTATCAGAATCTTCTAATCTTCAATAACTTTTTTTTTCTAAACTTTATCCAGTAAGCATAAATATTTTAATGTTTGACCGGTTTTTTTTAAGCAATAATAATTTACATATATTTAGTTTTTATAGAACTAACAATCTGTATATGGGGCAAGAGTTGACTTTTTGCTTTGAATTTTTTTTAGAAAGACATCAAAATGGCGTAATATTTAATCGAATTTTTTAATTATTTCAAGGAATTATTCAACCATAGATTCTATTTCAGTATGAATTATTAAAATTCGCTACTAACTCATTTAAACCATAAATTCGGTTACTTTACAAATATATTTATAAATAAAAAAAATTTAATTACTGTGCATAAGTAGGAGTCCATTAAAGAAAAAAAATTTTTTTTTTTTTTAACTTTCACCAACTATACCAATGAATTTCGAAACTTGATTAGCAACTTGTATACTTAAAAAAATAACGATGACTGCTGCGAACCACCTCAAAATTATTTGATCTGGTCAAGAGATATCGTGATCGAAAAATATGCAAACAAAGAGTTATCTAGAAAAAACTTTCAAGTTTGTTTTCAGATCAATTTATAACGAGTTACTTCTAAAAATTGTATCGAATGCCGTGAACTGCATGGGAATCGGTTCGAGAAATTCAAAATTTCCTAAGAAGTTTTTTATCAATACGACTACCAGATTTTTAAGCATTAAAGAGTAAATATGGTTAGTACTAGAGAGATATTTCGAGTAGATATGGCATTTTGTCTTAATATCTGGGTACACGGAGAAAAATTAATTATACTACCTACTATACAAAAATAGTAACTCCTACTATCTAAAATGGTAATAAAATTAATTATTAATAAAATAATAGCTGGTATCATTAACAATTTTAATAGTTACTATTAATAATGGTAACGATTACTATCATAAATAATAATTGTAATTATTATAAATTTTAACTGTTACAATCGAAGATGGTAACTGTAACCATCTCAGATTGTAAAAATCCTGAAAGAAAAAATAATATAAATTTACTTAATTAAATCTTTTTAAGTAATTTTTTTTCTGTTTAGAAGATGAATTTATTGTCATCTTTATTTTTTTGTCAAAATACTGATCAATCTATTGCATTGTATACATACAATCCTTATGCAAATTAAGCACCATATCTATGGCAAAATTTGAACACTACTTATAATGTAGATTTCAATCAATTAACAGTTATGATCAATGAGTTTATGATATAGGAAGATAATTATATCATCCATGGGACATCAACTAATCTATTAATAAATGTATTATGCAAACATGTAATGATAAATTTAATAAAATGCTCTTCTAAATTATATGTAATTACTCTCGATTAGGACAATAAGCACAAAAGTCAATTCTACTTAACGACGTATCTTCGATTATACTCAAGCAAATATGCACATTAACTCTTTATTTTTCATATTTCTATGACCTTAATATTGTCGGGATATCTGTAATATCTCACTGTCATAAAAAATTCAATATACCACGGTAAAACGATATAATCATTGTTAGTATTTCCCGCGTCATGCAAATAGAGCAATTAATAAATTAGAAATGTGAAATAATATCTCTAATCAAAAAATGATACCTATTTTTTTTCACATAGTCAGACTCCAAGGTTTATAGATTAAAATAATTACGATGTACTTGTAACTTTAACAATTAAATTAAAAAAAATTTCTTATGTCAGTCATACATCAGACCGTAGTGAATTCACTGAGTAAAGTTTGTCATTGACGGCACTTGCATAAAAATCCGTAAATCAGTGTATTGAAACCTAAAATTTCTTAGTGCAGCGATGCAGTTTCTTAAATATTTTGTCATATTTTATTTATTATTTAAAGAACCTTTAATTAACTGTGAATCATTTCAACACATCGATCCTCCACTAGTTCAACATTTTTTTAAGATTTATACCATAATAATTAAGGACGATTTTCATTGTATTTTGAAATATCCTGATTCTGTAAAAAAACATATCATTAAAATTTTTTATTTCATAAGCTTTCCTTCATTTGTGTTTGTCATATACATATTGATGTAATTATTAAATTTATTAACTGTCGAATAGTGTTAAAAAATAAATATTTTTTAATCGAGCGAAAAAATATTAATTTGTAAATGAAATGTTTTAAAGCGTTTATTTTAAAAATTTTTTTATTCTGAAAATTAACTACAAATAACTAAATTTAATGTGAAATATCAATAGAGTTCAGCACTCTACACTGTTTATAAAATAATAATTGAACAGCATTTACATCATTTGTCCGGAAGAAAACGAACGAGTATATACGGTGAAAAGAAGGTGATTTTACCGTGAGTTGACGGTCGAACGATCGTCGAACCGTAGTAGGTCCACAGTGATATCACTATGAGTTTATGAGGTGTTCACTTTGAAAAAATCATTTTTCCGCAGTAGAAGCATGCCATACTGACAACATAAATGCTAAGGTTCCACGAATTACGAACGGTCTTTTCATCATAGAACTGCTGATAAGTCAACATTTATTTACCATCTGTACACTGTTGAAAATTTTTGTAAAATTACAATCATATTACAAAACAAATGATATGTAAAATTACGAATCAGTGTATAGCAATGCTAAATAAAATACAATTCATGTAATTTTCCAACACCTGTTAGGAAATCTACTAAGATGTATTGTAATTTTACAATCTTCTTGTATAAACCTAATACGCATTGTAATATTACAGAACTGTTGGTCAATTTTCAAGAAAAAGCTTTTTAATTTTGCAAACATTATTTTTAATTTGATTCGGCATAATTGTATGTACAATCATTAAAAAATATTGTAATTTATATTACAATAATCTCATAGAAAATTTAAAAAGCTTTTTTTTATTTTTAAAATTTTCATTTTAAAATTACACAGTGCAATGTAATGTTACCAGAAAATAGAAAATTTTATTTATATTACACGAATTGTAATTCTACTTGACTGTTTTCTAATTTTAAAAATAATACTTTTCAATTTTACAAATATGAGACTGATGTATAAAAAAACAACAATGTCCTTCGTATTTATTTTTACTAATTTTTAGTCTATGGTTGTTTATTTGTAATAATAAATTCGAGGCATAATTTATCTTTTATAAATTTTAATATTATGCTCAAACGATCATTTCGAAATCAATATATTTGAATGAGTATATGTTAGACTTTTCTATCAATAAACAGCATAAAATAACACAATTAATGTAAATTATAAATAATAAGCCGTAATGCTCAATCACCACATAGGATTAGCTTATAAGAATAATAAGATGTTGAATCACCTATCGGTCGTACGGCGTAGGGCGTTAGGTATCGGTCTGGCAAGCGCGCGGCTCGGGTTCGGTTCTTAGTTAGGGTATATATTATTTTCACTTTAAATCATCTGAGTTGAACAAATTAGGTCTACGTGAGATACCAAATCTAGTCAGCGCTTCATAACAATAAAATGACAACAGATATTAAATCAATTCTTTCTTTTTTATTATTTCAATTCAAGTAAAATTCAAGGAATAGAAATTTTTAACAGTGTAGCTTAGATAGTAGTAGTTATTAATATTACTGATGGTAACTACAACCATCAGGTTATATTAGGAATCACGATTTTGATAATAGTAGTAACTAATTAAAATAATAACAGTTATTATTACTGATTACCATCATAATAGTAGTAGTTACCATCAAGATAGTAAATACTACAATTCAGATGGTTTAATACTTAATTATTTAAATAATATTTACTACTATCGAATTCAGTTAATAGATTTTAACATAACTAGATGATAAACTCTACTATAAAATTTTCTCCGTGTACTAATTATATCAGAATCATATATATTATGATATAAATCTCAGTTGAGCCTTTTATCTTCTCATTTTTTAATACGGTTATTCACAAATTCTATTATTAGAATTTTTCGAAAATTCGATAGAAAACATGAAATTTTAATTTTTTGCATCTCTAAAGACCCGAGACTTTCGAAATAGTAAACAATTTCGACCTCGCGTTTATGGAAATTTCGGAAAATCTCAATCTTGAAAACAAGTGGAGCCCTTCTTATGCACATGTATCAAAATCGCAAATTTGATTATATTAACGGAAAAATTACACTACTAAAATAAAAAAAAAAAATGATGTACGATAACTTCATTTTCGGGAGATAGTTTTAAATAGATTACAATTGCTTTCGTCAATGTGTGGAACAGTTAAATTGTAGGAAACAAATTAATCCACATAATTGCTGTATACTTTTATGTCAATATCTTTAGAAATACTATCTTCGATCTCTTGAATCGGAAATAAAGGGATAAAAGCTTCGCCTCGCCTATGTCTATTACACTACGCTCCACTTTGCTGTAAAATATTATTGATATATACAGATATATACATATAAACGCATCATAATACTAATGTTTATATTGTATACTCTATTATATATAATAATAATTATTTATAATTGTAAAAAAAGTCGTCTATGTGCTACACCTAATTGATGTAAACCACTCCTTAAAAGCTTCAGTATCTCCGTGTTTCACTATTATTGATGAGCATAATTAAATAAGACTAAATGTTCAATAATCAATTGAAAGTCCGGTTGTATTGAATAGTATTGATATAATAGCTTGAGCTACAAAATTTTAGATACGCGCGAATGTTCACCATGCTCATTATAGAAAAATAATATCTTAAAAAAAAAAAATAAAAAGTAAATAGAAACAAAACATTTATAATACTCATGTTATATGAATATAAAAAATAATGGAACAAGTTAGTCGCGGTTTTGAAAAGTTTTGATGACGTGGGTTGGTTGGTTGGTGTTTCAGTCGCCGGACACTCAGGCGTGGCAGAATGATTACCTGCAGGGCACAGGATGCGAGATGTACACGGAAACCCTCTCCCCGTCCTTTACAGGGATGACTTTTCCCCAAGCTAGCGAGTAAGTTCTCGCTGACAGCTGCCACACACTTGCAACAACAACTTACTGATTACTTACTCATACTTTTATATTTTTTTTAGTACAAATATTTTCTCTTTAGATATTGACTCACACTACACTTACCAATTTTTTGCCATGAAATAAATAACTTTTATCTATTTATTCTTACACAAATTACACATACACGGCATTTCTTTTCTCTTCTAATTTTTTTTTAATATTTATTTTAGAACCCGTAGTGTAATCTGAAAAATTTTTTTGTGTTTAAGGAAGTACGAGCACCAAGGCAACTTTTGATAAAAGGCTTGATTTTTTTTTAATATGAAGTTTAAATATGTCTAAACAAATTCCGAAAATTTGAAGGAGATTGCCCGATCATTTAAATAAATAATTAACTTTAAAGTTGAGCAATTTAACATTGGTCTTATGGGGTAACCTTCAAACATTGATACATTTCTGTATTTTTCTCGTAAAACTGTCGGTGAATATTTTTAAAAAACTTATGGATGAAAGTAAATATATAAGTGATAAATTTAATTCAAAAACATTTACACTTGCCCGACTAATTAAAGTGTATTAATTAAAAGAAAAATAAATGCCGCCATTAGCCAATGTTAAATGTATATTTATGTATTGGAAAAAATCATATGGTTACTGCGTTCCCCTTACCGCGCTAGAGTCGATACCTATCCCCACCCCGCCTGGCGCTCGTACTTGCTTAAGGCCCTGGGATAATTAATGTATTAAAATTTATTCGGGTTTTATTGTATCGTTAGATTGTATGAATTTTCTCATATTAATTTTGTTTATAGTAAATTGACATTCTTTCTTAATATATCTGTACTCTTTTTTAAAAAAACTTATTTTTCATGTTCTATTAGATTTATGGTTCAATTTAAATTAACGTAAGTCTTATAAAGATATTTACCTTTTCATACATTTATATAAAATATAGAAAGATGTTTAAAAGGAATCAGTATTTTCTTCTTTTTTGATTTGTATGTAAGGTAAAAGCCCCAATACAGTCGAATCGCGTTATGAGTCCGGCTTGTTTTCTTTGTTTTTTAACCAGACTCGCGTTAATAAGAGAGAAACACAAGGAGGGCTCATAACGCGACTCGACTGTAGATGATCATGTACCAGTATGTGATCACTCCATATATTTGTATACCTATATTTGTGAATATAGATATACAAATACATGGAGTGATCATATACTGGTACGTGATCATCTATTAAGGCTTTTACCTTATGTATTATTTTTTATTTAAAATATGGGCTTATCACAAAAAATATTATTTTTATTTTTGGAATATTATGACTTTTTATTACACCGAAGGTATGGAAAAAAAAGATTAAATTATTAAAAAATTTGTATTGAACTATCAATACAAACTTTATCTGAGAAGCTGAAATTCGAAAGGATTGCCATACTCTTGTTTTAATAATAGTTCGGGACAAGCCTTGCGGAATGGAAATCTGGCTCAATGTTCTTAATCAAGAGTCAGCATTAAGTTTTTTAAAATTCTATTATTTTTTGGCAGATTCTTGCTAGAGAATTGCAGAAGGATTGCTGGAGATACTCGACTAAGAGAATGAAACTCTTCAGAATTATTTTCTTGGTTCAAAAATTTTTCTCTTGATTCAAATTATTTTTTTTTCAGTGTATATGTTCATTAGGGTGGCGCAAAAAAACCGACTATTTTTTTTTTGAGTCGAGTGAAAAAATGTTAGTTTTTGATGTTTTAAGAGCCCTCACCAAAGGACAGCTCAAAAAAAAATTTTTAAGAGGTCACTCCAAATTTTTCAAAATTTAAAAAATCGTCAAAAATCAAATGTTTTTTTTTTTAAAATTTTTTTTCTCGTTACGGTATAATTTTATAGACTAAAAAAAAAATAAGTTCCTGAAAATTTCAGTTCAAAATTCGAATTTCGAAAGGTCGCTTATAATTTTTTTCAATTTATTAGTGCATTAATTTAGATTTTTTCGAGCGACCTTTTACTATTAAAATTAAAATTCCATGCATTTTTTTTTATTTAGTACTATAATCGATAAGAATACATCACGAGATAAACTAAAAATCAAGCACAACATAGAAAATATAATTTATTTCTAATTTAATAATTTTATTTAATCAACTGCCAAGCGTGAGTTCGAATCCCAAGCTGGTCTTAGAAACCAGCTTGGTTGAAATTTGACCTTGCC